TGTAGCCAAGGCAAAAAAAATGGCAAGGAGCAAAAAAGAAGATATAAAAATATTAATAACTGCAGAAACAGCATAAGAGATTATAAATTGTAGATATGGCATGTTGACTATTCACTGCACTAGCATAAGGGATTATAGGCTGTATATATAGCATGTTAACCATAAACTAAACTACATTAGCACAGATACTGCTTTGGAAATGGAAGGGGAGGGCTGGGCAACAAAAGTGAACAATTTTACTGCGGTACCACCGTGACTCTTTCTCTCAAAATCCTGCGCCTTCTCCTTGCAGATCCACGGTGTTTATTTATAATTTTTCAAGGGTAACCCTCTCTCCTGCCACAGTAAAAATACTGTGATAGCCTGTGCCAATTTTGAAGGAAATAACCTCTATCGCCCCCTCCCCTTTCCTCAAATACTCCAGCTCTCGTGTTCCGCATAAAGGAATCAAATTTCATTGAACAAATTTCACCCTTTCCCTTGCTCGGATGTGCCACACACCAGTAGCTTTCTTCGCCCTCCTCTTAATCGCTCTTGCGATCTTTCTTTCCACCACACATCTCAGTATTTCATTCATTCCTCTTTATGTCTGCAGCCCTGTCTTCCTCTTACTGTTTTCCGTCTTTGCCATGTTGCTGCTGCTCTGGTTAAAATACCACACTCTTTCTGCAGGGGTATTTTGTGTTTACGTCTCCCTGCTCACTATGTCTGCTTGCCTTTATTTTATTCATCCCACTCATGCTGCATTTTCCTTCACTTTAAATGTACTCTTTAAACCCTCCTACTTTACAGCATCCCTCTCTCACTCACTCTCTCTCTTTCTCCAATCGTCCCTGAGGGCGTACTGTCCTACTGTCATCCACAAAGGTGCAGTTCTAATTTACTCTGGTCTCAGCTTTATCCATCTGTGACACTGGAGTCAGAGCGAATTCTTTCACACACTGCAGGCATGCGCCAAAGCGACGCTACTGGGGAAAGTAACATATCTCAGACGGCTGATGCTGAAAAACTGCAATCAGGTAAAATAACTGACAAAGGAAGAGGCTGACAAAACGGCGCGGACCACTTCACTGGTACAGTTTACCACAGCGTTAGTGACCGGAGCGGAGCACGGGGCCAGAGGTGGGGGGAGGAGGGGGTGAACATTATGTAGAAACATGATGTCATCTGCACGAGCCGATGCAAATGATGAATGAAAAACTAAACAGCATCTGCTTAAAGCGAGAAATACATAATGGATGCGGATGTCCGGCGATGCATATTAAGCAGAAGAAAAACATGAGTAGAAACGCAAGGAGACAGAGAGGACGCCGCATTTTTAAGTGATCCAACCACGTAAAACGGACGCAGGCATATGAGATCGAAGACGAATAACGAACAGGAGTGTGAGCACCTCTACATCCAAAAGAAGAAAGTTAAACTGTGATTCACGAAGACCCCAACAAATGAGAAGCCATATCTGCGGAGGATCGGGACAAGTCGCCTGTGTGGACAGTCGTTTCGAGCTCATGAAAAACGCTGCGAGTGCGTTTCAGAACGTCGGACAGCGCGTGCACTCTGGTAAGAGGGGAGTGAATACACCGACCGAGACGGTGAGCTGTTTCTCAGCATTTCATGATGATTTTGGATTGTTTTCTCATTTCATTTCGAAACATTTACAATTCACCACATTTTTGCGGCTCCAACTTTCTCGGGAATTCAACGCTCCATGAATGATCCTTTGAATCGTATCTTTTTTCCGTGCATGTGGCGCTTTCCACATGTCTATAGGACCATAGAAATGTCAGGTATTCCTGCAACGTCAGCTCTACAACTCAGTGGGATTTCCGTTTTGCTACAATGCGGGTGAAAACAAGGTTGTCGATCGTTGAAAAAAAACGAATAAATAATAAAACCTTTCGATTGGTATATCCATGGATAAGAAAGAGATTAAAGAAGAGCACCTGGGGACACGATACACGAGGGAGACAGTGGTGAGTTGGGAGTAGTTGACAAAAGGAAAACTGACAAGCCTTTTAAGCGTTTATGTAATTGTACAAAAGAGATGACAAAAAGATTTCTTTTAAATTAGTGGGATGGCCCACGAGATATTTTTCAGGATAAAATGTGTTCTTATCTCTGAAGTGACAACATTTCTGTAGTACTGCATATGAAAGAAAATATGTTCTTAGAGAACTTGTGTTGGAGGGCTGTGAACATGGCAGATTCTACAGCTCTTCACACTACTATGAGAGAGAGATGGGTAGGGAGATACAGGGGTGAGAAAACAGGACAGGATTCGGTAAAGCGAGGAAGAGAGAGAGAGAGAGAAGAATAGGATAGAAAATTTAAGTCTGTGGGATAATAATGACAGTCAAAGAGAAATGTAATATGAGCAAATGACAGTAAAAAGCAGACCTACACCCACAGTGTGTGTGAGCACTTCAGTGTGGTCCTGAATGTTCACGTGTGTTTATACAGTGACTCTGAAGGCAGGGGACAGGCCTAGGGGGATGTGAACACTTAAAAACTTAACTCACATGATAATGACACGGGCAGAACACCTCCAAACATGAACACTTACAATGTAATGAGAGAGAGAGAGAGAGGGAAAGGGGGAAGGAGAAAGAGGGGTAGAGGCAGATAGGGAGGGGAGAGAAAGAGGGATGAGTGCTGACTGTGCAGGCCAGGTTCTCTGAGCTGTTGATAAAATAGGAAAAGCCACTGATTCAGAAGGGCAGAGAGAGAGAGAGAGAGAGAGAGAGAGAGAGAGAGAGAGAGAAAGAGGAGGAGGGGTTAGATCCATGGGTTCTGAGGTGAGAAAAGAAGGGATAAAATAAGACCGGTACAGGAGAGTTGGTTTGAGGGAAAGAGAAGTACAGAGGGAATGGTGTAAATTTAGGAATAACATGATTGATGAAGGAGTACGAGAGCCTTGCAGAAGGGGAGAGAGAAAGAATAGTGACAGGGAAAACAAGGAAGAGGGAGAGAAAAGCAGAAAAAGGGAGGAGAGAGGAGAAAAATAATGAGCCGGGAGAGAGGGGAAGGAGAGAGATGAGGAGAACAGGTGGAATTAAAAATAAGGGCAAAGGAATGCAGAATGAGGAGCAAACGAGAGGGACAGAGGGTTCGACAGCGAGAGACGAATGACAGAAAGGATTCAGGTCAATAGAAACTGGTGAGAAATGGGTGCGCATGAACACTAAGGCAGGACACTGCATAGAAACACAAGGTGATCGACATGTATGGCATCCTATCTGCCTTCTTGCCTGTCTGCCCATCAACAAACCGATCGCAAACGTCTGATTCCGGCTCGCTCTCTCTCAGAGCCACAAATTTTCCCCCACCCCCTCCAGCTCCGAGTGCTGGGCTGAAGAGACACCTACAGGACACAGGAGGTACTGCAAGAAGAGAAAATACTGCAGTCCCCCCCGTTTTTTTCACGCAGTGTAGGTGAACTACAAGCTCTTCTGCCTGCTGTACGTATGCTTATCTGCAGTTATACAGCTCAGTGTCTGATCCGCGGTTACTATACAACAGAAAATATTAATCTGACCCAGTCTGTCATTAAACACAATGTCAAGTGAGTCAAATGCCTACACTGCATATTTAGAATTCCTTCAGTATTTTGGGGGTGTAGACTGTATTTAGTTGTCCTCCATCTCATTCACAATTTGCAGTTTGTGTGTTAACATTAACATATAAGACTGATGCTGGATACCGTAATGTTAAAGATATAAAATATAAGGACATATAAACAGACATGCATTATATGTAAAGAAGACAGTCACTAAAACAGATAGTAGAGGCTAATACAGGGACAATGCATGCACACGGGGGGAAACGGAGGGACAGAATATACAGGATGGAGGGGTGATCAGAACAGGAAATACATCAGGAATAAGTGCTGGGGTCGGCAGATAATAGGTGAAATGATTAAACAATAAAATTAATTAATTAATGTCAGGGGAATTATACGCGCACTGTGGTACAAGGACACAATCCGGAATGCACTCCAGTGCACATTTACTACTATGTCTCCAGGGAACTGGCCTGCCATTTTAACATATAATGCACAGTTGTGAGAGTGCTGTGCTGTGCCATTTCTGGATTGGTTTAAGACAGCAGCCCATTAATAATCCATAAGAATGCAGTATGGATCAGGCCTCATACTTTCCCTGTCTTTCCCTGTCCAGCACTTTCCCTGTCTCTGTGTCATTTTACGGGTCGGCTCCACTGAAGAAAGTTTTGCACTCAGAACAGGGAGGAACCGGTATGTCGATTCACGCAGTGCTATAATTAGCCAGACTGTGTAGCCGTGTGTGTAGAGTAGGGTTCCTAGAGAGTGGGCCTCCAGGATTTGGATTCGCCACCGTTGGGGTTAGAATGAGGAGACATGAAAGCTACGGAGATGAAACTAGCAGGAGGGGTGAGGAGACAGATAGAGGGAATCAGGAGGGAACTGTTGGAGAGCGAGTTCGATAAGACAACCTGGAAGTAGTATAGTCTCAAAGGTAAAACACCTGGACAAGCAGAGCAGTTTCCAGGTCATAGTATTTTTTTTTTTTTTTTTGACTTTGCCCATCGAGCCTTAACCTCATTCTCAGCCACTCTAATTCCTGTCTCCAACTCCAACAAAATACTCATTAAGAAAACTGCCCTTTCCAGTTAATTATCCGCTGTGTATGTGGCTTGATTAAAAGCGTTAGGATTAAGCAGCGAAAGCGAGAACGAGGGAAGAGGAGATATCAATGCGTTGAGCCGAGTCACACATGAACTCGACGGAAACTATTCTCGGCAGGAGAAATGGACAGAACAGGTTGAGATAAGCTTCAGAAAAAATGAGAAAGAGAAAAGAGAGAGAGGGAAATGAGGAGAAGGACCGAGACATTACGAGGCGAAGAGGAAGAAATAAACAGAATAGTCGGACAAGGGGAAAAGAGGGAAGATTGGGTCCACACTAAAAATATGGATGCCCAGAACACAGAGAGAGAGAAACATAATCAAGAGAGCAGCACAGGTGGCTGGAGGCACAGTGGTTAGCACTGCTGCCTCGCGATAAGGAGGCTCCGGGTTCGAGCCCCGGCCGGCCAGGGCCTCCCTGCGTGGAGTTTGCATGTTCTCCCCGTGTTTGCATGGGTTTCTCTGGGTACTCCTGTTTCGCCCACCCAGAAAAATATGCGTTATAGGAACACTCCTGCCAGTGCCCCTGACCGAGGCTCTGGCTTTAGAAGTGGAGTTGGTCCCCCAGCGCTGTAGCGTGGCTGCCCACTGCTCCTAGCTATAGGATGGGTTAAATGCAGGGGACAAATTACCCCACGGGGTTAAATAAAGTATATCTTATCATGAAAGTGGACTGGCTGAAATGAGTGAAGAAATATGAAGACTTCTAAAGAGTACTGTAGCTATTTGGTAATGAGAAGGGTATTTCGGAGCTGTGGATAGTAGCCTGAACATTGATTAAGTGTCAAGTTGAGTAAACACATGAATTAACAACTTGGTATGTGGAGCATGTGTTGAAAAACTAAATGAGCAATAATGATAACAGTAAACTTAAAAGTAGTTGAATGGAGAGAGCCAAATTTGAGCTCCCGGTTTAGTCGTTAAAAGGGGACATATGTGAAAGGGGAGACAGGTGCAGAGGACACAGAGAATACTGGATTAAGGGAAAATAAACTGAAGCCAGACCCTGAGAAAGACCATTAAAAAAACTATTATTTCCTAATATTTCAACGTGCTGGTCTGGAAATGAGAGAGAGAGTTGATTGAAAACGAACTTGTACCAAGTGCAAGAGAGAGCATAATCTCCTGTGTTACTCATTTTTCAGTTTAGAAATACTATGCTTATATTAGCCAGATATTCACAAGTACACTTCAAGATCAAACAAAAAAAAAAAAAAAAAAATAGAGCTGATTGCCTATTGCTATTTCAGAAGCAGAGGTATCATTTCTAGCCTACAGTCCTCTCAAAGTCAGATATGATACTGGGAGAGAGAGAGAGAGAGAGAGAGAGAGAGAGATTTATTGGCATACAGGCCAAGGTACTGAACTACAGAAAGCAATAATCCCATATAAAAGACTGATGTACAAGCTATTTTTATTGCACTTAACAGCTGAAGGTACATAATCACTGACACCTGTCTTTCAGCTGTGTTTTAGCATTTTGCTCTCTTTTCTCCGTATTTACTGATTGCCTCACTGATCTCCTTAAATCATGATTCTTACCTCCCCATCTCCCCACGCACCGTTACACACCCCACCCCCTACCCCCAAAATAAAATGCACATCCTACCTGATTACTCTGTCACTCCTACCCCATCCCAACCTAAGTAAACTCTTATTTCAGGAGAAAGGGGTACCCAGCAACTATATTGTAAAGACTAGAGGGCATACACCCATAAACGGTATGGAGGAATGCCCATTCATTAATGCCTGTACCGTGACTGTTCACTTTATTAGGGACAGGGACTGAAAGAAACGCAAAATCCATGCACTCACGCCGACACACACACGGACAGGAATCACAACATATAACGACATATCAGACTATACGCGGGAATTTTGACGCTATAGGGTGATACGTATTTGTTTCGTGTGCTCGATATAGGTATATGCTACATCTCTGCAGATGGTCTACACTTGGACATATAAATACAATCAGAATCACAAGCACAAGCTGTTCTTGGGTTTGTTTGACCACCTGTACATAGACGGACCACTGCACAAAACACACACAAAGACCTATTCGAGTACTTACTTGGTTTTGGTGGGGATCGGTTCGTGTCTGTGTACAGTGTGCGTGTATAACAACACACGCACATCAATACACAAACGTAAACAAATCGTTGATATTTTGCTTTTTTTTGAATAACCGAAAGGATAATATTATCCAATTTCTCTTCGGCTCTCAGTTGGACGCGTCTCTTTTCGAGATAATTAAATGCTCAACAGGCTGGATAAAACTAGTTATTTGGACGCTGTTTATTGTAGTAATTGTTATTGCAACGTATTAATAACAGTACTGGGCTTGTCTGCTGGTGTGCCTAATTATGTCTCTCTCACCCAGTGGCGGCGGTGTCTAGCCTCAACATCCTAGCACATTTTTTTCCCCTCAATCTCCAATTCAACTCTTTCCTCCCTCCCGTAATGCCGTCAATCTTTGTCAATCAATCCCCGCTGTCCTTCTTCTACCTCTGTTCCACACTGTGTGTTTTGTCCTTTTATAATCTTCGGCTATTTTTTTTTCTTCCCCCAAGCGTATGCCTACGATAAAAAAACGTAACGAGACTTGAAACACCTATCTTGCACTCTTTCCAATGGCCCACGCGTATCTGTAAATTATATTCTCCCTCTTCTCGTAAGTATCGTTTCTTCTTTTTCTTCGTTTTCTGAAATCCACGGAAGCGACAGTCTTAATGCCAGTGACCCAATATGGTTAGAATTCACACAATCGTAATCGCTACACGTCAGCCTTGGTTATCACCAACAAAAACCCAAGCGGCGCCTGGTGCATATCTATTCTATATACAATTGCACGTTCTTTCTTCTTTTGCCTCCGTTTCTATAACTGTCTCTGTGCATATATTGGTTTAAGAGGGATTCCCACACAATCGGTTATTCAATTTAGTGCGGCGGTCGGATTCTCTCTTTTTTCTTTAAAGGGAAAGGTGCCACTTGGCGTCTCCCCTCCTCCCTACCCCACCCCTTTCTTCCAGTCTGTGGCATTTTCAGTCGCCTCAATTCCAGCAGAAATGTATTTTTCACCCTACTGATATTGTTTATACACAAATAAAATCCAGTAATCAGTAATCATTGTAATCAGAAATTCTTGGACATACGCTTTCACATGGCCATATTAGAATAGTTCAAATAAATAATACATTCAGCTATTCCCGACTGATTCTAAAAATAAGCACATATATTTTGGTGTATATCGTTGTGCCTTACAAAAGAATAGCCATTTTGATGCATATACTCATACTTACAACTTCAATTCAACAAGAAACGGGACAATAAGTAAAATGCAAATTAAAACAAAATGAAGTAAATCCCCCTTTTCATTTAAAACAGCACAAAGAAATATATTTGGTGTTTCACCTCATCATCTGTAACGATTTTGTAAATATTGGTAAATTCTGAATTTGACGACTGCAGGACTTTCTAAGGCAATTGGGACAGGGGATGGAAACACAGGAGAAGTTGTCGAATCCTAAAAAAAAATCACTCGCATATGGAACATTCCACAGGTAAGCAAGCGAATAGGAGACAGGTGATTGAATTACGTTTGGGAATAAAATGAGCAGTCACAAAAGGCAAATTTATTTACCTCCGAGATCATTCGAGGTTCACCACTTTTTAAAAAGATAAGATATACTTAATTAAACCCCGTGGGGTAATTTGTCCTCTGCATTTGACCCATCCTATAGGTAGGAACAGTGGGCAGCCACAGAGCAGGGCCTGGAGACCAATTCCAGTTCTAAAGCCAGTTCCTTGGTCAGGGGTTCACGTTTATCTGGGTGGGGGAAATCAGTGTCCCCGGAAGAAACCCACACGAACACGGGGAGAACATGCAAACTCCACACAGAAAGGCCTCATGCCGGATTTGAACCCACAACCTTCTTGCTGGAAGGCAGCAGTGCTGCCAAAAAATTGTATGAACCAATAACCAAACAGTTTAACAACGTTTCCCAACGTGTGATTGCTTCGAATTCAAGGATCTTTTGGGTATCGATAATGACTTATCTGTGGGGCTTCTATGCCATTTCCAACAGCCATCCTCTCCCGAATGCAGGTATAGAAGCATGGCTAAATAATACTCAAACATGTCAGACACAGCATTAAGTGAGACTCAAAAATTATTTAATTGGATTTTTTTGTTCAACCCAATCAGTTTGGAGTAGTATTTTTTGGTGTGCAAAATGAGATTTGTAACCTACATTTGCATTGCTGGACAGATTATACTGCAGAATGCCTAACTGCCCTGAGACACAGACACATTTATGGCCAAAGATTGTTCTGAACTTAACTTGCGAGAAGAGCTGGAAACATCTTTCTCTGAAGGTCTTCAACATCTGTGATCTAAGCAATCCAAATGCCCTCCTTCTTCCAGTCAAAATAACAATTGCCCTGGCCTTATATTCCAGTTTAATAATATTAAGTGGTATTTCTAATTTCTGAATTGCATTTTGGAAGCAAATGACACTAGGCGCACTATAAGTAAACTAGATATGAAATTCTCCAGTATGTCAAAGATACCGGAGTGACATTCTGCAAATTTCAGTCCGCAGCCAGAGCTTCAGCGCAGTGTACTCCACAAATTAGTCCAATCAATTATGACGTCCCCCCAAGACCCAGGTGGTCATGATAACTTGTTGGTCATGTGATTGCGTAGTGCAGGACATGGTTATTGTCATATGCTGGCAAATATGCAGCATAATACTTTGAAGAGGAGCATGAGGTATCCAGCAGGCTATACCCTTGCACAGTATGTAGTGAACAAGTTACCTATTCGATCTTGAACAGGGCCTTTGCAGTCTGAATGAACACCCTGTATCCCTGCATGCATTTGATATTTTTAAACAACATAAAGAAGTTTCTTTGATTATTTCCTCTTCCTCACTAAGGCCGCACAGAAACTGGAGCATATCCCAGCTGACTATGGACTAAGGGGAGGGATACGCCTTGGGACAGCTCGCCAATCCAGCGCAGGGCACATGCACAACTCGCACCATTCACACACACCAACCTGCAGTTTAGTCTCTCCAATTAGCCTGATATGCATGTCTTTAAACCGTGGGAGGAAACCCACACAAACACAGGGAGAGCATGCAAACTCCACACAGGAAGGCTCGACTGGATTCAAACCCACATCTCTCTCATCATGAGACGGCAGTGCTACCTTCATGAAAGTAAGTAAAGTCAATTACACATGCACCTTCCTCTTGCCTTCACCGGACCCCTTGACATGGGGCGGTATTATTGGCGCTGAAGTTGAGCCAGCCTCTTTTGGCGATTCGTCAACCTTCATAGCAAGCTTACTTGCAGCCATCACATAATGCTTGCATGTGTTAAAATATGCACAGTAGAACCACTTG